AGAACTTCTCGATTTCAAGCCACCAGGTCATTAAGAGCCCGAGTAATTATAGTTACCTTACCTTAATGACAAATTCTCTTTAACAAAAATGTTTTATCATTTTATTTTAAATTAAAATTCTCTTACATATAAGGCTTTATACATAAATTTTATTTGATTTTATTTTGTACTAACTTCTATGTATCCAGTAATCATATTGAGTTCCGATTAATTTGAAATTTAATCGAGTCGCACTTCACTACGGAAAACTCTCCCAATGCCTGTATTTTCATTTATAATACTCAAATTCAAGATATTACTTTTAAAAAAATCGAGTTCATTCCATTCATTCAGATATATATAAATTTTATATAAAATCATAATCATTTATTTTTTTATTATTTTCTACTAGGAAGGACTAAGATTTATAATGAGTTTTTTTTTGCATGCAGTTGTTTAGCGAACGGATTCGGTAGCCTAAATGGGTTGAATGGGACTAGTAATGGATTAAAGGCATCCGAGAGTAGGCCCAAAGTGGCCAAATCAGGCCTGAATAAGTTAATCATTTGACGGGCTAATATGCCAAGCCCACAGGCCCAACATCACAATAGTTACAGGTTTTGCCAATTTGCTAATTGCCTATGAGCAAATTTAGCACTTAACAATGGCCCCAATTTTTATTTGGAACATTTTAAAACTTGTTTGTGTATTGCTCTTTGTATCAATTAATCTTATGAATACTTATAAACTTTTTCATTCACAAATTAAAGTCGGAATTAAATGAACACAAATTAATGAAGTTATTAAAAATAAATAAATAAATAACTTGCTTATGCATACACTAGTTGTTTCATGACTTATAATCATTTAGTTTGACAATCTCATCTCATGAATTTCTATTTTCACAATGATGCCGCTTTGTCACTAAAATCATCTCGATGTGTTTTCATTTCTATTTTCCTAGCTCGTCTTCTAGATCCTAATTAAAGTTATTCAACTCTCTTTCTCTTCGATTCTTCTGCTGACTTCAAAATGATTCTTTAAAAGTAAAAAAGTGATGATTAGGCTATGATTTA